CTCCCTCTGCACAATATGCTGTCTTCTTAAATCAAGGAAGTAATCAAACTAACAAACCAACGTCACTTCTTGTCCAAACTGTTTGCATTGAGGATGTCAAGGGCAGCAGACAACGTATAAAAGCACAAACTGAATTATGGCTTTCCTGGCAGCAGTCAGGAGACATTCAATTATGGCTTGTTGCCGGTAAAGTGTGCACATGTCGCGTGTCCTCGAACTTTCTCCGTTTTCCATGGGTAACCAAGCCTGCCAAAAAGCCTGGAGCTCCGCAGCAGCATTGCTTCAAATGAAACAACGTGCTGTTTCGATGGGCAACGATTTGTTCCACTAAGCCAACACAACATTGACACAGAACAAACTTGAAGCCTTACCCTCCCAGCCACACATATGGAACCTCACTGGCGATCCTGGAAGACCATTTTCCTCAAGGGACCCTTTGGTAGATGACATGTTAGTGGACCGGAGGGGAGGCCAACCGCTTGCCATGGAAAGGTCTTCCAGGATCCCCGGTCAGGTTCTATGTCAGTGGATCAAGGAGCCCTTTGGTAGGTTCCATGTTAGTGGAAAGAGGGGAGGCCAACCGCTTTCTTCACTTAGGTCCCCGGTCTACCAGACCTCCGCGGAGCCTGGCAGCCCAGACAAAGCTTAGTCCCTGTGCTTGTTTGTGGGTGTGGTTGAATTAGAGGAACCCCATTTTAGGTTGGTTCAAAGGGAAACCAGCAGGAAAGTCATCATTTGAGGGATCAAAATACCTGTTTGGGCACATACGGATGACATGGGTTGAGTTGGATAACCTTTGGGTTGGTAGGCAAGGTAGGTTTGCGTCATTCAACTAAATAGACCAACTTGACAGCTAGACGTGCAAACATTTGTTGGTTGGTGTTTAAGGCCCCCAAAGTGCAAACGCATTCTGACCAGTATATAATATCAGTAGCTCATTGATTTGGGGAAACAAGGAGCTCAACGAACTGTTCCGTCCCGACTCCCCGGGGGTCGAAGCCGCCGCGTGAATGGCGTTTTCGATGCAACCCCTTCAGGCCCTCTAAATAGTCCTTGGGGTTTGACATTTCGAGGGTGGCAAAAGTGTCAGGTCGGCTGGAACCTTTTGGCTGCATCGAATCCCCCGTGCCCTGTATAATATTTGGCGCCCTGCAGTACTTCTTGGTTGAGGGATTCCCATGCCTTGTTTTCCGGGGAAACAGACAACCAGGGCTGCACCCTGGAAGCTGATGTTTGCACCTTTGTTTCATCCAATGGTTCAGGCCCCCAGCCCTGAAACCCCAACATGAAAGGTCCCCCTGCCTCCCCCCCCCCCTTAGCCGGAGGTCAAAAAGCCGGTGGACGCCAGCGTCAAGGAGGCCTTGCGCGCCCTGCGCGCGGCCTCCATGTCGGAGCGCCTTGATCTCTCGGGAGCAGCTGGGGCGGGGGACGGGTTGGGGCGGGGGGGGTGGGTGGTGGGGTCGGGGGGGATGTGCTTTTTCTGCGGGTGTTTTGTGTTGCTTTGTTTCTTGTAGGTGGGGGGGTTGTTGCGTGTGCCGTCGGCTTTCTGAATAGAGAATGCCCAGGCGATGTTAGGAATGTAGCACACGGAGAAGATGAACTGACAGGAAACAGTCTGCTGAATGTGGTGTACCCCTAAGCAGTAGCCTAAGCCTGCACCTCTCAATTTGCACTCTCTGTGAAACAATACAAATTTGTTGGCTATGTGCCAACTAGATATAGCTTACTTTGGAAGCTGCTCAGAGTACACCCTTTGGGTACACAACGATCCAAGGATGTCGGTTCAGTGCAAATGTCTGCCATACAAGTGTTTTGCCGCGTGTTCATCACGCATATTATTGGCAAGAGCTGTCTAGTTCCTGGCATGTTGGCAAAATTATCGCTTTAACAACACAATATGTGCACTTTCCAGTATGAGCTTCATGCAACACTTGACATGTCTTCTTGAATGTCAGATGCCACATTTGCCGTCGCAAAGGCGACAGAGGTAAGCCACGGATCCGATTTGATTTGAGTGCAGAAGGTTTGGATCAACCCACGGAGTCAACCCATCGCCGTGTTCCACCAACGGCACTCTCGAACAGCGAGGTCAGAGACTGGCAAGACCAGTTCAGGATAGATTGGGCAAGTTGGACGTTTGGAGGTAATGTGTCCGGAATAGCAGCTCCGACACATGGTAGGCTTCCTTATATAGATTGGTGTCAGGCAGTCAGCGAATCCTCTAAGATCTCGAAGCTTAACCTTCACACCAATCCACGTCCAAGTCACTGCCGACTCGCTCGCTCAGGTTTGCTGTGGGAGCATAGCCAGATGGTGCCGACCATGGCTGGGCAAATGCCGATTCAACATTCGAATGTCGGGCAGAGCATGCAGCACACATTTGCAAATGGAGGTTCTGAAGCAGAATTTGGCCCCTTGAAAGATTCTGAAGCAGGATTTGACCCCTTAAAAGTGCCAATCACCCTTCTTTTGGTTCCCCCCCTCATTTGGGACACATTTAATGGCTTCGCGAGCGCTGCCAATGGCCGGCGCGGTTTCACGGACTGAGCTGGCGGGAATTCGAGATAAGATGCCGCAGGGAGACTTGCTGGGCGAGCAGACTGGGTTGCACTCGTGTTGGATATGTTTTGGTTGAGGGCATGCTGTTCACCTTGTCTTGAAGGGGAACCAACAGGAAACTTCAATCTTTGGGCCCCCCTACACCGACACATCCTTGTTTTCGGTGTTTGCGGGGCCACGATCACTGGGCCACCGACAGTGGGAATGTGTCAAAGGGGGAGCGTACCAGCGCGTCGTTCGGGAGATGGACATGGTTGTGGGATTTTTTCAAGCCAGCGAGCATATGCAAACAATAGCAGTTGGTCAAGCAGCAGGAGACAAGTATCTGCAATGTTACTCAATGGAATACAAAGAGCCCTACGGGGATTCCGCAAATCAAATACCAGTAAACATGGTTGCTTGCTTGAAAGGTCGCAAATTTGACGCACGACGCACTCCTGTAACATTGGTTTCCCCACGGTGCCCTCCAGCCACCGAAGCCTTTGGATTGCTTCTAAGGATAGAGGGTCGGTTTTTGAGGGAATGGTTGAAGCTGTGCACTGAAAGGGAGTTAATTGGTCCTGACTTGAGCTCCAACCCATTGGATATGAGTAGAGTCCCGAAGCTGATCGCACATGGAAACCCGCCGCGGAGCTCGGGACTCGGGACGCAACACATCTTGCAGGCCTCATCAATGCAGCTAACTGGTCGTTCAACGACGAGCAGGTGGGGCGGAAAGCAATGGTTTGCGGCTTGACTTCTGTCACTCAGCTTGTTGAGTTGGCAACTTGAACTTGGAGATTCGTTCAAAGATCAAAGTAGTTCTGGCCGGATCGTCAGTTCAGCGGGTCACTTAGCAAAGTGTACCCAGTCCATGCCATCTCAATCTTTTTCATTTGCCCACCACCTGGCATGACATCTGACATTGGCAGCCGATCTTTGGCCTGCGGGGGGGGGGGGGGTCCGTCGTAGATCGAGTTCCAAAGCCCTGCAGTAGCCAACAAAGAAGACGAAGAGAAGTGGATACCCTCTCACCTGCCACAGAACTCACCAGAGGGTCCCTGGAAAATGGCCGAATGGCCTCCTTGGGGAACAGAAGGATGTACTGTGTTGGCGACAAGGTTACTTGTACCCAAAAAGAGCTGGGCCCAGATTGTCAATCAGCATCTTCCCATCTCAATGTGTTTGTTTGTCCATGTCCAGCTTTCTGAAACCGACCTTGCGTGAGACCTGCATTTGCTCTTGGGCATCCTTCTGGGCCGCCGGCCTGTGGTGTAGGGTTTGTCTTGGAGGCCCGCCAAATGTGACCCAGAAGAGTTTCGGCACAGACCTCCTTTGCTTCAAGTCGGAGATGAAACGTGCGTCTTTCCACTGGTTATTAACAGCACCTTTGGAATGCCAACCAGAAGTGATGGTGTGATGTTCAAGAATCTATTTTCTCTGTGCTTATTTGTTCAGTAGTTTCATGGTTTCCCTCTTCGGGTGGTAAGTGCTCCTCGGGAAATACTGCAAGAAAGCAACAAACAAGTTTCCCCTTAACAAACAAGTACCTCATCCTCATCATCATCATCCTCCTCCTCATCATCATCCTCATACTCATCCTCATCATCATCATCATCATCATCATCATCATCATCATCATCATCATCATCATTGTTGTTGTTGGACAACAGGAAAATGTCGTATACAAAAGCATGGTTTTCCCATACATGGGTTCCTTTGTTTTATGTTTCGGGTTAACCGGCAGGTCTTTGTGCTGCGAAAGCAGATTCTCCGAGCCTACCGGCAGCTGGAGGCTGGCGGCTTGGCGGGGATCCGAAGGGACATGGGGCTGTTGGCTGGTCTTTGGTGTGACCAAGCCGCCCGCAGGGCGTTTGCAGCCAAATGGCAGCTCCATTAAGCCTGCAAAAGGTCCAAGGACCACTTGTTAGGAAGGCTTGGAGCAACCCAATCGCTTCTTGAGGGAATCCTTTTTGGGTTGTATTGAAGGAAACCAAAGGAAAGCAATCGTTTCGTTGTGTTTTTCCCCAAATGGAAAAGAGAGGATGGGTCAAATCCACAGGGCGCGAAGTAGCCCAGCATTTGCTTGTTGATGTTTTGAGCCAATTGTCAGTGAGTGCCAGTTTGCTACAGTGATGTTTGGTTGCGTGCTGAACAGGAAATTGTTTTGAATTGCCCCAAAAGGACATAAACAAGGGATTCTTATTGTTTGGTTGTTCAGACCTCCCTCCCTTTTTCACATCCAGACGCTCAAGCGCCTTCTGCAATGACACTTAGGGTTGGTCATGTTTCGAGGATAAGTCCCTTTTCTGTTCTGTTGTGTTGAGAATTACGCCACCGGAAGCACTGATTGTTTGTTCGAAATAGGGGAGGGCATTCGAGGATGAATTTTGAATGAAAGCAGCCATGATTCCTTGTTTGCTACAAGCTGGACCATGGAATTCAGACTGTGCAAACCTGCAGCAGTGTGACAACAGGTGACACGCTATCAAGAAGCATTGTTGATGCAAGACAGCCTGGGGTTCCACTATGCGATGTTTTTTTTTTGTTGCATCAACTCAGCCAACGATGTTTACTCTCCCCTGGAGGAAATTAACAGGGGATGGATATCTATATGTATATATGTATATATTGATTTATTCTGCGACACCCCCTAGCTAGCCCCCATGAAATAAACATGGGCCGGCCTTCCCACCATGCCCAGGCCAAAAAGTCTCAAGATGCGAAGAATCCGCCCTTCAAGGTCTACGTCTACGATGAGGCGCACCATTTGGCCAGCGTTTTTGGCGCAGAATGCTTGGAGCCCTTTGAGCTTCGGGGGTCGACCCGATCAAACCTTTGGGTAATTGGTATCGGTCCAATGACCGTCCCTTACCGCCACTATCCGGCGCTTGACAATGTGCATCGAATCGGGCAGCTGTGTCGAGTGATGTCGAGTGACTTCTGGTTCGGTTGTCCCAATGAGAGGTTCTCGTTCTTGATAGGCGCCTTTAAGAGTGGTTGACTGTGGCACTTAGCTTCCAGAAGCTTGGTATTGTCTAGTTATCCACTGGAAGCCGAGGGTCCTTTCAGCGGGGGCCGCTTCAAAGGGATTTCTGTCAAGATCTGCAGTCGGCGGCTGCGTCGGAGAGAGTGGGAGGGTTTTCGGCTTGGCATCAATCAGGAGGCGTACCTCTAAAAGTGCCCAGACAAAATGATCACCAGCTTGGTGTTTGTCTTGATCTTAACCACTGTGCAAAGGCATGGAGAGTAAGTTGATCAACGGTGCGAGATTCCAGATTGGTATTGGGTCTTCTTGTTTGTCTTCGGGATTTCTCCCCGGTCCAACAGCGAAGGAGGAAGTGCCTCAGCTGAAGCCATTGCTGCGGAGTCAGATCTATTGCAGCCGAGGCTGGGCCTCAAGCGGAAGGGACGGAGCAAATATCCTCTTTTGGAGGAAACCACCACCCCCTGTTTCCACCCCCAGAGCCTGCTTGGAAGGGGTTGAAGGGGTTTCTGACAATGTTTCTGGAGGGTAGGCAAGCCCAAATGTCTCGCCTGAATCACAAGGATCTATTTTTATGTTAAATGGTTGACGGTTTACTAGATATGGACCAGATCTAGCAATATTGTGTAACTTCAGGCTTGGAGGCAGGCAAATCTCATGGGTGTGTGCTTTTTGAGGGGGTGCCTTTTGAAAGTTATTCTATCGGGAGACCAAAGGGCAAACCAAGCATCTTTCTGTGAGGCCTGCAATATGTTGACAAGCTCATCCTTGAGCTTGCCCAAAGCAATTTGGTTGCTGAACCTGTGTGGCTGTCAGCCTTCCAAATCCAATCCCTGCTACGAAAGATGCTTGGATTTGTCATGTCTCCAAGATGCACGTCCTTGGCAACGGGCTGGACCTGACCCGTGCTATCTCGGCCTTCAGACTCCCTTTTCGGGTTTGCGACCTCAAGGGTCCCTTCATAAGAGACGTGTCCTGTGTTGAATAATGCTGACAGAGAATTTTGTCATGGGGGTCGTCAAATCTGGGGTCCTTGTTGGTACCCGGCGGCAAATGTCTCGGCGGCAGGGTCCAAAAGCAAAAGTTGAATCAAGGCCAAGGGGTGAAGGCGCCATCTTTTTGACAACGCATGTGACGGAGCTAAGGTCAGTGGGGCACCGACGTGCAAGTCCACGACTACTTTGTCACTTCCAATTGTCAGACGGACGACCCCAAGGAGGCGCCGGAAGCAGGGACGGGAATGCTTCCCTGTAAACCTCTTGAAGGGGGTTCTTTTCCAGTTTTAGCACACCCCAATGTCCACGAGAGGCTCGAAGCGGGCCAAGGTCATCTTGTCCACAGGTGAACTTTGTTGGTACGGACAAAAGCCGACGTTCCGCTTTTTGATCAGGACATTCACCCAGGGCCCCAGTGTAAGTCCTTGGGACCGTAAAAACAGAATGTGCAAATGCAGGTCGCTTGGAGCTACCATTGGTTGGAGCAAGCTTTTGAGTGATGCGAAGCGGGACCTCAACCTTTCTGCGTTGGAACGCCCTTTGGGCAACAACGAACGCACGTGCTGAACAGGAGCCATATTTGTTTGTTGGAAACGTATGTAGCTTGGTGTTGCCCTTATTTAGGAACCCAATTTCAGGAACCCTTCATGGAATGGTGTCTTTGTTTAGTGGTGCCCCTTTTGAGAGTCTCCTTTTCAGAGTTCCCCATGAGACGTGAATCACGTGCTCGAGAGATCAAGTGCATTACTTCTTAAATATACCTTCGGGAATTTGAGGGAATTAGATTGAAGGCTTCAAGGGGTTGTTGTAAAGGTAGCACCCAAAAGAATTCCCTGAAGGCCGATTTCTTCTTCGTGCCGGGCTATGCCATTTGTGTGCTGGAAGGCCTCAAGCGGGGGCTGCCAGAGCCGATGCTGTTTGAGCTTGGGCAGTGACTGGACAAATGTCTTGCCCGCTGCCACCCTTAACAGAGACTCTAAT